TCTGTTTTGAACCTCGGTACTCTTTTGGTACTGACTGAAGAGTGTCCATAGCACAGACTATTGAAAAATGTCAAGTACTAAAAGCTGGAATCGAGTGCTTGCTCAGACTCTTAATTTGCAATGACTTCTTTATTGGAAGGTTATATTCGGTTCTGTAATTATGCCGTTAATTGAGACACAGCATTTTTTTCCTGATTTTAATGTGACCATATCCAGAGTGGTTTGGATCTTTAGTGCATCATGGGCCCCATTTGTACTTAAATTTTATGAGATTTGGATTTCTTCTTTTTTTTTTTTTGCGTCACTTCGCTTTCTTTTCCCAAAGGCATCACCGTCTTATGTCCTCTTCTTTGCTCTTCATAACCATCTTTACCTCTCCTCCCTCTGTATTTTCCCGATTGCTCTGAATACCTCATCAACACTGTACTGCTTTGTTCTTTAACATTGGAGGGCCTTCTCCTAGCAGCTCCTCTCAGTCCTTCAGCTCGGAGGGAGTTTGGCTGCACATTGCATACAGTCTGTATGGAGAGCAAGCCCTTGTTAATTGCATTGTGGTATTCTCCAGGGGATGTGGCTGTGCTGAACAAGCAGTGCAGCAAATTTTTCACTTTCTTTTTATGTTTTCTTTTTTTAACTGGGGATTGTATTGCTTTCATATACCAGAGAAACAACTGGTCTTTTATTTTTTCATTCATTATTAATCACTATTTATTGACTACATCTCGAGAGCTCACTTTGTGAGCTAGAGAACATCCATTTGAGATTTGATTCAGATACGTACATGACCAGTCAGCAAATATTTCGATGATGACGCCTCTACAAACTCCTGGACAACACTTAGAACTAGATCTTTTTCTTGCCTTGCATTCATTCAGAAACTTTCTGATTTTGGTGCTTTTGATTCCCAGAAGCCACCATGTCTTTTTAATTAGAAAATTGAAAGCAGAGACCGCTGGCAGACCATAGAGTTACAGTCATACGATCAGGTGTGGGAATGGTTCGTGTCTGTCTTAAAGGAAAATTAGCTATTTTTCAACCTGGTCTTATTCTGCGGTAGGGCTGCAACTTACTTTAATTCTCATTATCAATGAATCTGTCGATAATTTTCCTGATTAATTGATCAGTTGTTCGGTCTATAAATTGTCAGAAAATAGTGAAAAATGTTAATCCCTGTTTCCCAAAGCCCAAGGTGACATCCTAATATGTCTTGTTTCATCCACAACCCAAAGATATTCAGTTTACCTTCATAGAGGACTACAGAAACTAGAAAATATTCACATTTAAGAAGCTGAAATGAGAGAATTTTGGACATTTTTCTTCTCAAAAAAAAGGTACAGCTCTAGACTCCAGCAAAACATCATATTCGGGTAAGCAGCACAAGCCTCCTAAAGCTTTCCCAATAAACTTTGATTATACATACATCAGTTCAGATGCTGGCTTAACAATTGTAGCTAACTACATAGGAATCTGTTTCTGTCTAGCTTTTTGGTTAGCCAGCTAGCAAACGATCAGCTCATTAGTTTATTCATAAAAGACGTACCCAGTTTTCTGGTTTGTAGTCCGTTTTAGGGGTCAACCACATACAGCATTGACTATTGGTTGAGGCTGCAACTTCGCCAGTCAAAGTTCCCCGATGTTGAACAAAGCTGAGATGCGAACCTGCTTCTCCACCAGAATGTTTGTTTAGCTCCATAGAATGGAGGTGAACAGGAACAACATTTTGCAGATGTCTATTTGGGATTAAAGGTTTACTTTCTAAATCATCCTTTGTTATCTCTGTAGGGGCCACAAACGCAAGCTTGATGAAGCCAAGGAGGAGGAGGACGACGAGAAGAAAGAGGAGGCTGAAGAATCTGCTGACGAGTCTTCTAAAGACTCCAACGAGGAAGAAGGCGGCAGCAGCTCAGAGGCGGACGAGATGGCCGCAGCCCTCGAGGCAGAGCTCAATGACTTTATGTGACGTGGAAAATGAAGGGACTTAGTCACAGGAAAAGGACAAAACAAAAAACATCTGCCCTGGTCGCCCCTACAAGCGGTACCTAAAAATCCTATTTTTCTGCTTCGGAATCAGTGTGTACTTAGGATGTATGAGCCATGAGTGTGTTCTGTAATAAAAATGAATGTCCTGTACAGAAATGACTTGCTGTGTAAATAAAGGCTTAGATTTTTTTGTAGCATTGATATATGGCCTTTTTGGCATAAAACTCTTTGATGTTAACATTTTATTGTAAGATATCAAACCATAGGAGACATGAAATTTGATACTTTTTTTTTGTTTTACTTTTTTCTATTTCAATTTTTATATTGATGAGGAAAAGATAAATGAAATTATAAACCGTACATTTTGCTGGTCGTACATGCCAAAGAGTTTGGAATAGGTTTCCCAAGGCCTGCAGCTAAATATTTTACTCTGGACTTCCAGTTTTACTTTTCTTTTGGCCTCAACTGTTTTTTAGGGTCATAAATGCAACCAGCGGATCTAGACGTTTGAATGTGTTTACTTGAGTCATTTCTTCCTCCTCATGATGTTTGTACTTTTGATAACATATTAGTAAAGTAAGCTTCTGAGTCTTTGTGACAACCAGCCTCTTGGTGCACTATCACCGTGAACTGAATCCCACTGAACTCCCAGTTTGTCGGTTTCCGTTCAAGTGTTCGCTCACCTTTCCCATTTCAACCCACCTCTACTATTGATATTGTTCAGTTCAGGACAGACACTCTCACTCGGCCTCTGCTTGTTTACACTGGAGTTTATACCTTGTGAAGTCCTGTTGCCTCAAAGGGTAGGTTCACTCAGAGTACCAAAAAAAAATCCTTTTGTTATGTAACTATGCAGATAGATGCTTTTGAGGTATAAATCTCTACCTCTACCCTAGTACAAGGCCCCAGGGCTAGACTAAGCAAACGTTTGGGGGATTTATTTTTTAATAATTTTTCAATAATTGTTTTTTCCCAGTCTTGATTCTTCCTGAGAAATACATTTAAATAATACTGGTTGTGGTTTCCCAATTACTTTGTGCTGACAAACATAATCGCTACCCGGATAATGTTCATGTGTTTTTGAGTAAATCAAGCACTACATTTATCTTTTACACATCCCGAGTCCAATCCATGGTTAGGGTTTAGGCAACAATAACATTTTCTACAGGAATGATTGGTCCAATTTGCAGTGATTGGACAAAATGGCAATGTTGAATCTGCATTATTTGTTGTGATCGCAATACAACTTCTTGGAGGGAGCGATTAAACCAAGACATGAAATACAAATCATCATGGCCAATTTTGAGTAACATCGTGAGTGAACAGTTTCTAATTTTATGATAAAGAATTTTACTCCTCTGGAAAGTCGCAACAGTGACTTTTTTATTTTGTCTTAACTCTGGCGTGTAAACAGAAATGCAGCATTCATATATCTATAGTTGCCGGATGATATTGTATTAATGCAAACGCCAGATTCAGCATTTTTGTCAGGGCCTTCTGTGTAGGGATTTCCAGGCAAATATTTTTTTCTATGGCGTGGTCTCCAGTGGTCTCCGTATGAATCTGTTAGTGGTGCTCACAGCATTAAAAAGCTCTATTTAAAAGAGTCAATAGTGAAAACCTTTGACAGTGAGTTACAAGGGTTGTGCAGAGTAACAAGGACATTGGTTCTGGAGACTTTGGATTGCTTTTAAAAATCTATTTAATGATGGGAACACCAGAAGGAAGCTTCCCTTCTGTTGTATTGGGACAGAAATATCTCCATGTTAGATACCAGAGGTAAAATATGTTTTGGTCATTTGAGTGAACAAACCCTTTAAACCTGCATGAGGCAAGATGCTTATACGCTATAAAAATGCCAGCCCAAATTGACTTTCTTCCCCAAATGAAATATCTTTACTTTCTTTAGAGGATTCACAAGCATCTCATCGCTTTAATGTTCATTGGTTGAAACCAGCCTGGGTGACATATATGACCTTGCTGCGTGCACTTTACTAACATCACACATTACAGGATTTTTGTGCATTCAACATCTAACACTTCCATCTCACTGTCTTTTGGAACCACCATCAAGCAAAGTTGCCTAGTGCTTGTACCAAGGTTGCTTACATTCAGCGCTAATGTTTTCCGTCTGTCACCCATAGCATCACTCAAAAGAGTTCTGCAGGTGCAAGATCTTCCTTCTCCTGCATTTAGGCTATAGAAATAAATGACTGTCCTAAGGCAGGACAGCAGGTGCCTGTTTGAATCTTTGCCCAATAAATGATTTACCTTCACCATCTACAGTAAACACAATATCAACATGTTACAGTGACAGTCATGCTGTTTGGGTTTGTTTGTCTGTGGTGGTTTTATCATGAGTTTCAATCAAACTGACATGTAAAGTATTTGTAAAGTCTATTTCCTACTTGACCCTGAGAGAAAAGATACTTTAATGAAATAAAAAAATTTCCAAGTAACACAACTGGATCTGGCATTCTTTTTTTGAGGATGACATGCATGAAATACTCGCTATTTTCAGTATTCCCTAATTACTAAATCGTACTCCAGATAAAGCCCATTAGCCCTTTGCCGCCTCTTCTTTGCTAGGTTTTAAACATTAGACTCATGATGTGAATGGCGCTATGAGACTCCCACCAGGACACGCTACTCACTTAATGGGCTCTGTGTCATGAAAACCATACCAGAACCATTAGGCCTCGTTCCATCGTGTCACTCGGGTTGATACATGTGTTGCAAATGTGCTGCAACCTGCGAGGAAGCGCTTATTTTTTTCTCCTTGTTATTACACCAAGACAAGCAGCCTCATTATTGTAGTATACAGTCATCAGTTTACAATTTTGGATACAGGAGGGGAAAAGAAGGACTGAAAGCGTAAAAGCTTGACATTTCATTCTCAACTGTCTCTTCATTAGAAACAAATAGATAGGGTGTAATCTAAATCAAATACAACCAAAACACATCCATAATGTTACTCTCTCATCTTGTCATTCAGCCAAAGTAATGGTTCTTCATGTGTCATGTTGCGTACACAGGAAGGAGCGGGATAAATCACGGTCATAAAGTCTATTAAAAGCGTGACTCAAGCAGCTCTGTTATGGCGTTCCTTCCCGTACCGCTGCCTTAAAAGCCAAAGCAAACAGCAATAAATGGAGAGCTGTTTATCCTGTGATGGAGACAGGTATTTTCCTCCAGTGTGAATTTGTATTACAGAGTCATAGCAGTCAGTAGTGGCTTGATTCCATATTTGAATTTAAATAAATGTTAATTTCCCAGCTGTGTTAAGTTTATGATCCACAAAGGTGATTCAACATAGGCTGGAGGATCCTAAAATTGCTTATTATAAAGATTGAATCTAAAAGAAAATGTGACCTTTGTTAACAACCCACAAACCTAAAATGATGTTATTTATCTGGCTTTGTGTGAGGCCAGGTCAACACATTTTTATAGCCAAACAAAAAATTTTATGGGCGTCATTGGAGGAAGTGCTAACTGCAGCGTGCTAGGAATAAATGCTATGACACCTGGGTAGTTTTCATGAGCATCGGTAGCTACTGGTTGAACAGAAAACGAACAAAAGCACCACCTACAAACACTTTAACAAACTTCCAACAGATAATCCAAAAAGGATGAGTGTTGCAAGCTCTGTTTATAAAGTGATGTTGGTTGCACCGACGCAGCACCGAATAAAAAATGAGAAAAATGAAACTGAGCACAAAATAATCATAGGGAAGCAAACGGTGGTGTGGAATATTCAAATGAAGGAAAGTGAGTGACTACTCATGTCAAGGAGGAGAATGCAATTATGCTTTGATTTTTGGTTTTAATGTACAGACTCTAAAGGCTACAGCTTCCTCTCCTCTGTTACATATGAGCTACAAAGCTTAGCTGATCTGGTGTTACATGTTTCAAGAGGTACTGTTAACGCCCTCTAATTAGGGGATGGCGGCCCACCTCCCCCAGCCTCCTTTTTGAGTGGGACTCATTTTCAAACGTATACTGACTGAGTCGCATCATTCACAGAGTTTTTGCTAGTTTTTGCTAAACCCTAATACTAAGTTTAGTATTATTTTATTCTGCTACACCGGTACAGACTTGTGCTTTAGATGGCTGTAGAAGTGTCACCAGACTGGAATCTTTACCTTGATCCCACGCACTGACAGTCCCACGCATGTGTGTTCCCACACATCCTAGAAACCCTGTAAATCTACAGAATAGTTTTCCAGTCATTGAAGAACCTGGAAATTGATTAAAATGCCCAAATATCATGGGAATAATCTATTTTATCCTGGAAGATTTCAATAGTATTTTAGTTGCTCACTCCTACATAAACCTGGGTTTAACCGAAGCAAACCCTGACATATCAGACAGTTAGCCACTAGTGTAGCTACAACACAATTACCACACAGAAACGTCTATAAACAGTGGTGAATGTGCTTCGAGTGACTGTAAAAGCTCCAGTGGGCTCTTTACAGCGCGGACAGCAGCTGCTCATTAGCTCTGAATATCAGACGCTGTTCCTGCTACACTGCTGTGGTCAGTCTGTCAATCACTGGAGGCCACGCCCCCTCAAGTTACTGTCCTTTGCAGGTCTCCGATGCATTTTTTTCTTTTGCTGAGAGGGAGGGAGCTAGCAGAATTGAAGGGTGTAGTTACACTTTAAATTATACCCAATGTTAGGAATAAGGTAGCAAGACCTCTCCAAACACATGGAGAAAGTAAGAAAAAACTGCTTAATACCAACAGGCAGAAGAAAACTCAGTGTTACTTGTGTGAATCCAGGTAACAGTCTCCTTCTTCCCTGGCTTTACTGGTGCTTGTAGCTTCTCTTGGTGTGTTACTGCCGTTACAGGAGCGAGAGGAACAAAACAAGGGGTCACTAGAAAAACTGCCCCATAGAAGCTAGAGGTAAAAAAATCCATAGGTAACCTTGGTAACTCAATGTACAATGTACATACTAGCTTTTCAAGGAGCTTTAAGCCAACCTGCATGGTCTCACAGTCCTAATTAATACACTAGAAGAGCAGGGTTATATAAAAGTGGTGCAACACAGCTAATAAGCTATGATAGTTTTTATTATTATGATGATTGCTATTACAATGGTGTGAATTACCATGAATTGGTTAACTAAAAATGCGAAAGATTTGGATTTCACCTCCATGAGCAAATGTGCTAACCCTGGACATTTAATTGTAATATGTTAATGAAGAACTTTGTTATTTTAAATGCTGGTGTGACTATGCTTTCAAGTCTTTTCTTTTCAGTTTTCCTTTTGAAATTGCGTGCTGTATTCTGGATTAACCTGCTAATCTCTAGTTGTTTAGCAAGACTCAAAATGCAGATGAGGCTGCAGATCCTGCCCTCTCCCATCACTCTTTTCTCCAGACATCTTACGCTAAATATGGTTGGCCAACATGAAAAATGCTTTCTTCACTGACAGCTGCTCCCACCTTCCCAAGGATGCATCTTCATATCTCTGATCCTACTTCTGCTGAGCCTGATTTTCTTCTTTTGTCTTTGTCCCGAAGGTGGCGAGTCATGGATGTGATTGACATGGAGCCAATGAGAATCTTTGGTCTGACAGGCACTTGAGGTCAGATCTCTGTTCCACCTGCAGTGTCCTTGTGAGAAGTTCTGCTGCAGCGTTGATAGCTAAGAGTCGGAAGAGAGGAACTCAAGGGTGGTGAATGTTGCCGTTCTCTGATACAAGGAACAGGAAGGACCCTTCAGACAAACAAAAACACAAAAAATATGTAAATTGGGATTTGCAAATGTGTTTGCTGGTTGTAATTATCTATTTATCTTTTTGTGCAGTATAATAGTAGCTAGTTAGTTAGTTGGTGTGTCGTGCATATGCTGTAGTACCCAGCTCACATGGACTTGGAAAATACTGTTGCTGTGGTGAAACATTTGTCAGAAAATACCTTACATTACATACAACATTACAGTACATTCAAAACAAAGCGCTCTGTCCCCTGATCCAAGCTCGACAAAGGGAAAAAAAAGCTCCCTTTCTAAAAAACACAGCTCAAGTTTTCCATAATTGTCCTTCCTGAAACAAAGTAAAGTCTGTAAATCATCATATAATGAGCACTAAAACATGAAACGGTCTTCAATCTTACTTAAATCACACAAACAAACCCTGTTCTCTTCAGGGAGACCATTAAACTTGTTTCTGTTCAGTCTGTTTCTATAGCTGATGGTAGTGTACCTGGATGTAACAGTGCATATACAGACCTTTAACCTCTGGTTAAATTCTTCTACACAAAAGTCTCAACACTCTCGTTGCTTTTACAGTATGTTTGTACCAAATATCAACTAACCATCTTTCCTTATACATAAGGAACCCTTTGTGCAGAGTATAATGAAGTTATTGAAGAAACAATAGTGTTAATATGTAGAGTATATAATAGTGTAATAATAATCATAATCATCATTTTCATGATCACAATTATACTTCCACATAATATGCACACATATACACTGATGGATAATAATTCAAATCTGTGAAATAATGATATTCATTGTCTTGATCATCATAATCATTATGTCACTGTCATCATCCCCACTGCCAAGTTATTAACTGAGACGAGGAATGGGAAAGAGAGAGGGTGTGTATGGAGGACAGAGAGAAAGAAGTCCCCCACTTACCTTCACTGTGTGTGTGTCCATGTTCAAGCAGTGCCGCCAGATTTCATGGAGAATTTGGCTAGTTTTTTTTTTATTAGGTGCCTTTTTCTTCTTGCACTTGTATTTGGCCATGGCACATGATGATGGGGGGGCTCTGAGTGGTACATTCTCAGCACCACAGGACAAACAGGGGTTGACCCAGAAGGGTGTCATGCGGTGGCAGCTCCCACCCCCAAATAATGCCAACAGCCACCCCAATTTGTTGTCAAATGCTGTCATATTTACCACATTAATTTACATTATTTTAAAATATGTTGAAAATGGAAATTAATTGAATCATTTTAGACTAAATCATAGGCTAAAGTACTATTTGGAAAAATGTCTAAACATTTAGAAATTAATCATTTCTAATGCCACCTTTAGATATTTCTATTCAGTGCTTTAATGTGCCACGATAATGTAATTTTTCTGAAGTTAAAATATTTTATATCAGTTGGGCTTTTACAAGCAAATATTGATATATGTGATTGTTTTCAAATCTGCATGTATTTCTGCCACGCCTTTAAGTCTCTCTGCCACCCTCTGGCCACCCCATGACTATTTCTATAGATCCGCCCCTGCGGACAAACCCAATAATGGCCATAATTGATTTGTATGTTACATTAGTTAATAAGGTGTTTAATGTTGTCTAAATGCAGGTATATTTGTAACGAAGCTACATGCCATCAATTCATTTCAATTCAATTCAATTCAATTTAATTTTATTTGTGTAGCACCAATTCATAACAGAAGTTATCTCAGGACATTTTTCAAATAGAG